TTATCGAATGTAATACCACAGATTACTTGATTACTTACATACAGATGCGAAAGAGCGGCGAATTCGTGGTTCAAGATTAATTTGATAGACATAGGCTGGCCGCACCAATGCCACATCAATGTATTTTGAACATATTTATTTATATAAATGCGGAAGCTCAATAATATAATATTATTTCTTTAATTGGTTCACGCTCACGCACTCGGCCACGTTAATTGTCCTGACGCGGGCGATCTTTATCTATGCGTGGGGCCGCTGGCCGCTGGCTTCGTCACAGAATATCGTCGACAGCAAGTATACGTACTTACGCATCTGTATTAGGTGATCTGTGGTAATACCACAAGAGAGTTCAGGATTACCGGATAATACTTTTACCTGTCACGAAACGCGTTACGCAGCAACACCACGACTCCGAAGGAGGAGTGGTGTTGCTGGTAACGCGTTGAGTGTCAGGTAAAAATATCATCTGGTAATCCTGAAAAATCGAATGGTATTCAAAAGGTTATACAACGAACTAAACTTTAATTCTTCATTAATTAATAATTTCATGAATCAAAAATTTAAATTTTTTGTCAAAAAAGTTTCAAAACACCAGTTACCGTGCAAAAGGATTATCACCTTTTAAGCCTCTCGTGTCATATGGGGAGGATTATCACTTCTTAATTCTCTCGTGTCATATGGGAATAATGTTCAGTGAGTTGTATAATCGAATGTAATACCACAAGAGGTTTTAGGATTACCGGATAATACTTATACCTATCACGAAACGCGTTACGCAGCACCACCACGACTCCGAAGGAGGAGTGGTCTTGCTAGTAACGCGTTGAGTGTCAGGTAAAAGTATTAGGTAATCCTCTGAAACATCGACTGGTATTCAAACGGTTATACAAAATTCTATTTGGGAACCAAGGAGACCAGGAAAGATATTTGAAGAAAGTTCGAGGGAAATTCTAGAAAATTCTGTATATGTCTATTACGAGACAACAAGCAAAAATGGACGAACAAAGAGTTCAACTTTATGCATAACAATTTTTTGGTAGCTATCGGAGAACCACCTACGTTCCTGAGTATAGCTTTGCCTTTAGCGCTTAGAGCTGCAGTTCTTCTGCTAGAAGAGAAGCTTCACCGGAAAATGTTTCTTGGTATCCTATAGGTGAGGTACTTTTTGGGTCTTGCAGGATAATTTGGAAATTTTGATTTTAGATGGGCCATCAACTGTTGAAAATACTTTGTTGAGCAGCTTGATTAATTATGAAGAATTTACTTTATAGTGTAGCCTGTGGTCTGTGGTGGTGGAATTCATTATGGTATCTGAAGCTTTTTAAATATAAAATTAAATAAATATAGTTTAGCATTGTAGGATTTTGCATTTATTTTCCTTGTGTTTCTGTGCATGTGGAAGTAAATAGAGTTTGTTAGTGTAATCTAAAAAGGTTATACTTCAGCGAACTTCTGCGCAAAATGTTGGAACTTCAAGAGAACAAACGAAAACAAGAAAAACAAGATGAAGAAGCCAGGCGACAAGAAGAAAAACAACAAGAAGAAGCTAAACCACAACAGGGAAAAGAAGACGAAGAGGCCAGGCGACAAAAAGATGAACGGGAAGAGACAACAACAAAAAAGCTAGCTAAACGACAAAACGAAAAACAAGAACGGCAAGAAGACATTGGAAAACTGCTGAAAATATTGAAAATCATACAAGGATCTGTCGTTAACCTGGAACAAAAGATTAGGGAAATTAAAGCCAAAGTTAAAGAAGATGTTCAAGAAGTTAAAGACGATGTTCAAGAAGTTAGAGACAATGTTCAAGAAGTTAAAAACGATGTTCATCAATTAGGACAAGAAGTTGAGGACCAAGTTCAAGCACTTGAAGATAAGGTGAATAAATTAGAAATACGTTACATCAATCCAGTTAGTGCTGGGGCATTCTTTAGTTTGAAGATAAAACCACCAACTTTTGATGGTTCTACGTCCTGGACCATGTATATCCGACAATTTGAAGTTGCTGCAAATACCAACGGATGGAACAACCAAGAAAAAGCTACAGCACTGATAGTGGCGCTACGAGGACCTGCCTTAGACCTTCTTCAGTCCATTCCTTCGATCTACCAACAGAATTACCAGCATCTGAATCAAATGTTAGAATTGCGCTTTGGAGACCATTAGGGTAAGCACATAATGGAGCGACGAGCAAAGTAGTGACCAGCAGGGCCGTTCTTAGGCGAGTGCAGGTTGTGCAGGCACAAAGGCGGCCAAACTAAAAGAGCGGCAGCAGGCAGCAGTCAGAAACCGAAAAAAAAAAATTATGGAAAATTAAATTTCTTACTTAGGGCATTTCACAGAAGTTCTAGAAAGCATTTTTAGAATACGCATGTTTTATTTATGTAAAATCTGTTTTTTTTTTAAAGATAAAAGTCAAAATGACATTATGTTGGCAATACAATGTAAAATTGTCAATGCTTTCAAATTTTTTATGTAGAAAAGGCTTGTGTTGCCAACATAGTTACTAAATTTTTGACTTGGGGAATTATTTAAAAAAAAAAAAAACAGACTTTTTTTTATTTTATATAATAATAATAATCTTTATTTGAAATTGCATTAAAGTCTGTTTTTTTTTTTAAAGATAAAAGTCAAAATGACAATATGTTGGCAATACAATGTAAAATTGTCAATGCTTTCAAAATTTTTATGTAGAAAAGGCTTGTGCTGCCAACATAGTTACTAAATTTTTGACTTGGGGAATTATCTTTAAAAAAAAACAGATTTTAGATATTTAGGTACATATTTATGATACGAGTATTAAGCCGGGAACACACTATCAACACGGTACGTTACGTTACGAGGCGCGTACCGTGTCGCGTAATACAAATGTGAGCGCTCTTCGCTTACTTACACAACACGCTTCATACCTTGTACCGACACTTACTAGGTTTTTTTGCCAATTTTATTTTAATTCGAGAAATAATATTCGTACATAGTGTTAAAAAATGCGATGTGCCAGCATTACCGATTCTTCCGATTGGGAAGAAGAACTATAGAAGAGGGCGAAAAGGCAGCAGTATGTTCACAAATATTAGAAAATAGATCAAGTCATAGGACATTATAAGGTGCATGAGATTAATGGAACGAGAATCATAGGCGAAAAATAATTACTCATAATTCCGTACTTTTCAATTAATAATTCCTCCATTTTTGTTTTTCAAACCACAAACACTAACCAGACAAACATACACAATTTTGAACAAAACTGCTTGCATACCCAGCACGCGTGTGAGGAAAGTGTGGATTTCCACAAATCAACGACAAGCGGAGACACGCGTGTTATTTGACGACAGCGTACCGTGTTGGGTATACCGTAGCGTGTAGGGTATATGATTGAGATCCATAAAAAGACACGTAAAATTCAAGACCTCACGTTTAGTACTGCACGTGCCAGCTCGTAATGTGACGTACCGTGTCGAAGGTGTGTTCCCGACTTTAGGATTTTGGTTCATATTCTGTTTCAATGATTTGAATGGATGATTTTTTTAAAAGTTATCCGTGTTTTACGGTATATCCCATGCACACATAGTTTTGAGTTTAAAATTAACGTTTTTGGGCGTGGCACCCGAAAAAAAAATTCCCTGCGGCGAGCTTTTCCTCTAAAATATTTTTCGGTTTTACTGAGGCGATAACGATAAATCGATTTATCAAAAATTAAAGCCGATTTCACAATAGACAGACCTAGTTTAAATAAGATAATATTTACTAAAAAATGTAGTTGTTTTAAATAGGGGCGGCTTTTTCATGCCTGCACAAAGGCGGCAGAGGGGCTAGGACCGGCCCTGGTGACCAGTGAGGAGAGCAAAGCAGTGAGAACTAAGGCCGTGTTTATGTTGGAGCTGTGATAAACGATAAAGGCAACGATACTAATGATACTTTACATTAGTATCGTTGCTTTTATCGTTTTATCGTGTATCACAGCTCCAACATAAACACGACCTAACACACGAGATCAAATTGTTTGACGCATAGTGAAGAGTAGTGCGGAGATTTAGCAGCGCTGTGATCAGCTTGTGCCTCATTCCATACAAAATTCACGCATTCGTGAGTCGCAAGGTTGTAAATAGTGAAAATATGGATTTGCATTCTTGTTTTGTAGTAGAGAGCGCTAGCTTCAATTACAGGACATAGTTTCACAGCCGATGACATCCATAGTAAAAGTATAGCATCCGCCTTCAATTGCCCTCTGTTTATCCTTTCTTTTTTCATTCTGTGCATCTATCTTTGTTTTTGATGTGAATTGTGTATTCATCTTCACTCAACTGTTTAACTTTGTATTGGCAACACGTATCACATTGATCTTTTCTAGGTATGTATATAGACAAATTCAGCTCATCAAACATTTTGTTAAACGTAAAAATTGAAAGAGGATGGCGACTTTCGTTCTGACACTCGGTTTTGTAAAGGTCGTAGACTTCTACTTTGGTTTTAAATGGATAATCTAAATATTGTTTATTCGTATCTTTCCGAAAATAGTGCGACTCCATTTTCGCTAGTTTTTCCAGAAAAGTCTCAAGAAATGCCAACTCTACTTTGCTTTTCAGTACAAATGGAGACTTATTTCTACTTTCAGTTTTCCGAATGTTTTGTATGCCTCAGCAAATCCATGATTTTTTACACTTTGAAGTACCCAATTTTGTACCATTTTCTCCTTCAGATTTAATGTAGAAAGGAACATTTTTTTACATAAGTACCTGAAGCCTCTCATTTTTCAACCTTAAGTTATAAACATAAGAACCACATCTCCTTGATGGCCCTTTAACATAACACCTTGTCTTTGGTAAGTATAAAACCATGGCTAGGACGTACATTTTCTTCTGTTGCCAGGTCATTTTCCAAAATGAATTGAATATCTCAGTTCGGTTTTGCTCACTAAACTGCGAACAATTGCGTTTTGAAGATTTAGCACAAAATCCTGTAGAGGTACACCCAACTTGTAAGGTTCGGGCACTTCTTACAATTGTTTGTTTGCCATTACCATCTTTCGTTTTCTGATAGCCTAAATATTCTGTTCCCACCATACGTAATGCCTTATTTTTATTTTTTTCCCAATCTTTTGGCTCAGCTACTTTTTTTCTTGTGCGTCTTTTCCGCTGGTCTAAAACTTCTTTGTTGATTTCTGGAGCCTTATTTTCATCGTTCACTGGACCATCGATGAGGAGTGGTTCGTAATCTGGATCGTCGGTATTTTTGTGTGGTAGGTACTACAGATTGTTGTTCTTCAATATCCATTGATTCATTCGAGAATTCATTAGGAAGATTTGGTTCCCAATCTGGATCATCGTCCTCGGCTGTCTCTGGGTCAAAAATGTTGCTGGTCATGTAAACAAAAACCGATTCAAGAAATTCGCAGTTTCATTACCTACCTTCATTCTCAAAGAAATTACTGGCATCTGTGTTTTTGTTTACCTGAGTCCATGAAGAATCAGTTGTATCGATCGAATTACACGTTTGTAACACAATGACATCCTGTTCAAGTTCAATACCAGCATCAGGTGTAACATTATTTTTGCAGTATCATTCACTAGTAGTTTCTGAGTCCACTGCTCAGTGGGTCGATTCCCAAACAGGGACGGTTGTGTCCCTGAATTCACGTTGGTCATTACCTGTAAAAACTTTCTAACAATTTTCATTGCCAACGAAAGCTCAGACCAATCAGTGTAGTTCAACGCCGGTAGGGGTATTTGCTCTCGGAGTAGTTGTTTCTGACTGGTCAAAGAAGATAAACATTTATTGTTATGACACTGTGCTTTGCTTGGCTTGCAAGAACACTTCTAAAATCCCTGTCCTTCGAATTTTGAAAACTTTCTTAGAGCTTCTCCTAAGGAAATTGTTTTTCCTAGTGGAATGCAATCTATTTCCTTACTTTGGCAGTCAGTGATTTCTTCTCTTAAAAACCATCGATTCAACAAGCCGTGTATGGTACCAATTTCATAAACTCCATTCGTAATACATTCTTTGGTAATACTCACTGTTCCTAATATATTTTTGGGGTCCAGTGGTCCTCTATCTACTTTAGGAACTTCATTGCAATATTTTGGCTGATATCAAGAGTTCTTAATTTTTCAACAATAATAATTATTATTATTCGACTGACACACTGTCAGTCGTATAATACGACGAATTTTATCTAGTCGGATTGGAAAATAATCGCTTGCGGTTTCATTTTAATAATAAGACTAGCGAGCGGCAGGCGTATTATAATAAGCCTGAAATTATCAGTCAAATTGTGTGATTCCTAATTTTTTATTTCGCATGCATCATAATCAACGATTATCGCACGCTGCAGCCTGCATAAATAGTATATTAAAGTATAAGTGGATATTAACCTTCCGGAGCTCGCGCTAATTATTTTGGAGAGGAAGCTCGCGCGCGGACTCACAATCCGCAGCTTTCAAATGTGCTTTTCAATGACTATTTCTAAAAATTGTTGGCAATAAATGTTAATTGTTATTTTTTTCAAGTTCTTATTCATCGACTACAATGATTTTGGCATCTTAACAGAACTTATTGCTAGAAAAAATGAAATACATTGATTTTGGCCAATTCAGCTGAACTTATTGCTAAAAGAAATCAAAAATAAACATTCAACAACATAAATAAAGATTGCTATTGGAAATTGAAGTTTGTCTCATTGTGAGCGGCATTTATGACAAATAACAAGTGAATGCTCCTCGGAATGCTCTAAACAAAAATACATTTGTGGCATTCAATGCAAAAAAAATGAGGAGGTTTCACAGTCCACATTGGCTATTATTTGGCAAAAACGCACATACCAAGTCACAAATGAGCACTGACTCTAGGAGAACTCGGGATAGAAAGATACTCAAGATTGCAGCGCCGTGGTTTGTTGATTTTTGAAATAAACGGCAAAGTAAGATAGTTGCGGAGTGAGAGTCCGCGCGCGATCTCCGGAAGGTTAAGGTCTTTAAAACACGCGCGATTTTTCGAGCACGACGGCACAGCCGGAATGCTCGAAATAGAGCAAGTGTTTTAAAGACCAGTTATCCACGAATACTTAACACTATTTTTTTTTATTGGTACCTATACGTTCAAATCATAAATTACTAATAGTTGTAGAATGCTAAATTCGTGATATGACATCTGGTATACCTTTCGTTGTCTGACAAATCAATAATTAAAAAGTTGATATTTAGACTTTACCTTTCTTAGGTTGTTGATGTTGTCATGGTAACTCTATTAAAGCACGCGTGTTTTTGAATGTTGGATTTAAACACGCTGAGGAGTATTTTAAATAAGTAAAATAGGTTATCAATAAAAAAAACGATGTTTATGATGCGCCTACCTTTTCAAAGGTTTGCTATAGAAACGTTTGATCTACCTTTATTACCTAGACATTTACCTGCCGTGTAAATTACTAGGTATTTATCAAAATGAAAGAACACATTTAAAACATTTTTGAGATTATGATGCATTCGTAATAAAAAATAGCGTATGATATGCGTGTATAAGAGCATTTAAAGCCCTTGCGACTTACAAAACACTCCGCTGCGCGTCGTGTTTTGAAATATGTCGCGCGTGCTTTAAATGCCCTCTTTTACACTTATATCATAATATACTAATTTGGGTAGTATTGCAATACGCCTAGTCGTATTGAAAAAGCCTAGGCGTATTATAATGAAACTGATTTCACATTAAGCTTGCGACATATACATAATTTTATTTTATGTCTATGAAGAATTTTAGAAAAATAGTGTCAACTAGCTGCTTGGGAAAGGAGGACCCGGTATTCAACCTTATTAATTTAATTGCCGATTCGATCAAATATTTATTGCAATTCAGCAATAAATTAATATAAATTGCGCTGCAAGCCGCAGCAAAGGCAGACTAAACCAGTGCAAGTACCTCTCGTTGGAAAAGCCCCTCTGGAATTAAGTCTCCCCAGTGCAACTACCTCTCGTTGGGAACGCCCCTCTGGGTATCTTCAGCTTTATCGTTGTCCAGTGCAATTACCTCTCGTTGGGAACGCCCCTCTGGACAAGGCATAAGGGTGACGATAAACTAACCTACAGTCCCCCAAGCAGCATTGACGTGTGGCCCCCTATAGGGACCCCAGTGTACGAAGGGTCATGTATCTTATAGGGTTAGCTTACATGTAAGGTTATATTTGGAAAAATATATATCTATATTTTTATATAACCTGAGCGAGTTTCTCTCCATCAACCCCCAAAGCTACAATCCCCCCATGTCACCCCCGTAAAGCGGGCAGTTGTGGTGGAGGCGCCGTCTCGAAACCGACGCGCAAGAACCGACGCCGTAAGGCGCCTTTGAAGAAAGCCAACGCCCAAACACGTCACGACGTGGTACGTCGACAAAGGATACCGACGAAAGCTTCCAGGGAAATTCACGACGCGTGGCGAAGGTGAAGACAAGTAAAGAATGAAATGTGACATATTTGGTCGAAGCGAAATTATTGACACGGTGGCGAAGGCGATATAGATGTCAGATAGGCGTGCATATAATTTGAGGCCAAAGAACGCAGCAGCTGCAACACCAACAGAATCATTCAGACCGTCTCATAGGAGCACAGGATTTGAATACTCATTTTCTCAGTCAAAAAGGCCACTTCAAAGATCCCCACCAGGGTCAACCAGTATCAGTTTAGAAAAAATTGAAAGTGAAATAGAAAACCAAGCAAATCATCAAACAGACTACGAAGAAGACAGTGTTTTTGGTAGCCCACCAGACCTTACCCTTCAAGAAGCACCAAAACCCAGGCAACCATCTAAAGAGGAAGTAGAACAACCGGAGATAATGGCGAACACCACAATAACTGATGCTATAACAGCGGAGAAAAAGGCGAAGTTGCCTCAGTTTATCAGCCCTCAAACCTTCCAGCCGTGTAAAACCAGCGCGATCGAGTTCCTAAGAACATATGACAGATCAGCGATAGCAAATGGGTGGGACGAAAAGCTGAAAATTGTTTATTTTGAAACGTATTTAGATGGAGCCGCAAACCTGTGGTTTCAGGAATATAAGCGCGACCACCAAAACAACAGTTGGAAAGACATTGTTAAAGACTTTTCAGAGGAATTTGAGGATACAGATTACCAAAGGGCACTCAAGAAAAAAGTCGAAAACAGAAAACAGGGTCAAGATGAGTCAGTCAAGGAATACTTGTACGATTTACAAGTATTATACCACAATTACACACATACATTTGATATACAAGAATTTGTAAGGATTTTCAGCGAAGGATTGACGGAGGCAAATCATTACACTTACTACTGGTTAACAAACCCGCCGAACAAGCCACCAAAATCACTTATACAATTAAAAGAAATAGCAGACACAGTAGACAAAGCTCCGAAGAAAGGTGCAACGCAAGATACCCAAATTATCAGCTGTACGGAAAGAAACACAACCACAGACACAGAACTAAACATATGTCATTATTGTGGAAAAAGAGGACATGTAATGGCCACCTGCAGGATTCGAATGCAAGGAGAACACACAAGCACAAGAGTACCAATATCTAGCCAAACGTGTTATAATTGTGGCAAAACAGGACATTTCGCAGCTGTATGTAGGAGCCAAAAGATGAGAAATCATAACTCCAACTCAAAAATTGCCACCGTTTGTTACAAATGTGGGTAAACAGGACATACTGCAACAGTATGCAGAAGTCAGCCTCAAAGGTACAATTCGTATACGCCACGAAACAACAAAAACAATCCAGGTTGCTTTGTTTGTGGAAAACAGGGTCACTTTGCAAACACCTGTACAGCCCGACGACAAAACCCAAACGAGAAGGGATGGCAAAATTAAAAGCCCCTGCCATCCTTACCATGGGGAAGAACAATAACATAGGTATCTTGCACATCACAATTAGATTAAATAATAAGTACATGTCGGCAATCGTGGATACAGGAGCACAAGATAGCGTTCTACAAAGAAGTCTAATCAAAGAGGAACTAACAAGAAATGATGACACGGTTCTAGTCACTGCAGGAGGACACCAGATAAAAGTTTTGGGAGACATTGAAGTTCCAATAGAAATACCAGGGAGTCAGAAATGGAAGGGCAGACTAAACGCCAAAGTGATTTCATCATTAACTCAACCAGTCATCCTAGGCATGGAGTTTTTGACAAAAAATAACGCGATCATAGATCTCCCAAGGAAAAAACTGATTCTGAATGGTCAGTATGAAATACCTCTAAGACAAATGAATAACGAAAAAATCAACATGTCAGGTCTGGTCACAACAAAACAGCCGATTAAAACGAGAGAGCTTAAACTAGATACTTCAAGAGATGAACAAGAGTTTAACAAGTTTGTAAGAGAGCACATTCACATAAAAGATGACCAAGTTAACGGTCTCCTGAAAGAAGAATATGGAAACATAGACGTCCTAACGAACGATGCCGTTTT